AGGCAGGTTCAATTCTCTGGTTGTCTGGATTGATTTTTTTGAACATTGTCTATTTGGCATAATGCACTTGTTGTCCTGTGGGGCCAGGCCAACTCTCAGGATCTCAAAATTGCACTGTTAGATGGGAGGGTGTGACACAATTGCACACGCACCCCAATTAGGCACATACACGCACTAGGCGCATACACACACTACCAACTCAGGCACGTGCACATGCAAGATTACCAGTCTAAGCACGTGCATACCTATCACCAATTCAAGCACCGAGATACTGTACACACTAAAAGTTAGACAAAAATCAATTGTCAATATCCGCACACCCAATACACATACATGGATTACTAATTTGTATACCACGCACACAATTATATATATATATTTGCCCACCCACTCTCTCTCTCTCTCTCTCTCTCGCGCACACGCACACACACACACACACACACACACACAGAGACAGACAGAGGTAGCAGGAGATAAAAAGGCTTGATGGAGGGATTGAAGTCAAGGTCTATAGGGACAGAGTCCAGGTCCTTTGCTTGGGGAAGGAAGGTGGGTAATAGCTACCTGTCCTGAGCTGTGAGTTGATCCTTGATGGCTAGTCGGGGTCTTCTCCATCAAGGTGTTGTCCAGAGGGGGTCACTGGCAGGGCCTCTGGGTGGATAGGTGGTGTGGCATGGTGCTGGTCCAGATGGAGAGGGCATCCCACTGGGTCTGTCTTCACTACCCCTTTTTATAGGTGCAGACCTTGTATGACCTTAGTGGCAGGGTGATGCCCAGGCAAGGGTCAGCCCTGGTGTACTGAGCATGTGCACTCCGGGCAAGGACATGCAGTTCCAGGTATCTATGTTGCAATAGTGGATTGGCTGATTTCTGTAGGCTCTTTGTCTTCCAAATGCTGGGTTTCTGTTCTGTTTCTGGGTGAGTCAATGGAAGGCAATTGTCCAGTCATTGAGCTGATGGTGCAGTCATTGAATTGATTATTCAGTAGAGTCCTGCTACCATTGTATCTCAAGCACCCTCATTCATCCCGATTCATTCAGGAACCAATTTACATGAGACTGGTTAGACATGAGTCATAGGTTACACCCGGGCAGAGGACACAAGATGAAGGCTTGACATACAAAATGGAAACTTGACATATACTTGACATTTCTTATGCTAACTTACACGTGTAGGCCTATATCATATAGTATCAATAGAAAAAAGAGTAAAAATCAGTAAAACAGTAATCAAACAGTAAAAATTAATATAAACATAATAATTATATAATATAAAACAGTGGATCAAAGAAGGAGAGAGAAGAAAAAAAATACCTGCTACAAAAATGCTAAAGCTTATCCCATGTCTTAGCTTACTCATACTTATCTATAGGGAATAGAGAGGGAGAGAAAAAGTCAGAAATAGTTGGAGAAGGGAGGGAATGCATTTCAAAATTAAAAAAGAAAGAAAAACTAGGGTTTTTGCTACACATTTTACCCCCAGGAAACTCTACATGCATAACCTGTAGTAATTAGTAAGCCTGTGTG